TGTTAAATTAATGCCCCCCCCCCATCATCAGGGGAGGGTCCATCACGATCACCATGACAACCACCCGAGCCGCGGGCACGCGCACTGCATCAGCACTTCCATATCGAACCAAAACCAACAAGCAGAAAACGCATGACAATAATTCTGCAGCGCATGTGTCTGAAATACATCAAATACTAATACATTACTGTATGAGATAATGTGCAGATACAGTCATAATACAGGAGAGACTCGCGACACTTGCAGCATATGCACGTGAAATAGGAGTGCTCATAAACACGAGATCATGAGCGCTTGCGTGTGCTCTTACCTTCTTCAACAGTGTCTGTTTCTCCCTCTCCTGCTCGCGCACACTTTCATCCATCAATTAACGCGCATTACAGCATCAGATGCACGTGCAGCACCCGATCGCTTCTGACTCGCGCGCGTGTTTAGGGTTTAGATCCGATCTGAAGTGAGTCTGGGTTTTCCTCTGCGCATGATGAAGATCTGAATGCAGGAGTCCCACCCCTGCAATGCAACTTCAGCACTAACACACACACACACACACGAATAAGGGAGAAGAGGCTAGTTGTCACACTTAATATTTCTCAGGGTTGATTTAGGCACGCGAAGTCTTGGCTACAACATGCTATTGAACATTTCCACCGTTATTACCCATTAAAAATATACAATTTATCGAACAATAATTCAATAAAAGCTTTGTGCTTTTGTGACAACATGCCCCAATAGCGGCACTAAATGGGGTAAATTGTCACAGCTAAACCTGAAATTAAACAGCCGATTATATTCAAACATCAAAACAAGCTAAGACAGCAAAAGCGTCACAATACAAAAATATCGAAAACATTATTCTAATAAATGTTGCAGTTGAATATTTAAAATAAACTTGATATTTATATAAACAAATATTAGTCCCGGGAACATTGTTTTAGGACTCTAACCTTCATTTTATATGATATTGGTATTTTGTAGGCAAAAATGTTTTAATTTGTGTACTTGAGCCCTTGTGATTTAGCTAACACGGATAAAACGATAGATAAGTTAGATGCCTCCCTCAAATAATACCATGGTACTTGTCCAAAAAAAACATGGTACTATCATAGTACCTGAGTATCTCACGCCCCCAAGTGTCCAAAAATGATTTTTTTTTTCAACAAGGTGCAGTAAACGATCAAATTTGCGCTATTAAAATAATATAACAAATAACAGTTCCCAACATCAAACACTATAAAAGTTTTGGCACTGCCTGACACCGGAAGTCTCGCACATTTACGTTAAAAACGCCCGCGCTTACGTTAAAAATAAAATGGTAGCGTTTCATAAGTTATAATAATAATAATGTTTATTTTATATAGCGCCTTTCTACAAACTAAACTCAGAGATGTCTCGGATTGGTCAGATACAAGAGATCAAAAACTCCTATTTGAATTTTTGCTGTGTATCTTCAGCTCAACAGCTGTTTAAGTTTATTGTTCAGGTACACACTTTGAATAATACTATAAATAGAAATAAATTTAATATTCACCCAATGTTCATTCTCATCCATCCTAATAAATAAATCACTTCCAAAGTACAAAATGTCCCCATGAAAACAAACATTTATTTACAGGATGCCAACCACCACAGTAGCAGCAATTTCAGAGTGATGCTAAATAAACTTAGTGTGCCGTGCAATTAGAGAAAAAAAAATCTGAAATGCATCTAAATGCCAACGTGATTTTAAGAGTATATATATATAAAAAAAAACATCTCAGAGGCCTAAGATCAGTGTTAATGGAGTTTTCATAAAAACTGCAGGTGAAGTCAAGCTCAAAGACAGAGAATCACTTGTTTAAAACTCATAAAAGGAAAATTAAATAAAGGGAGAAAAATAAAAAAACAAGTCAAGAGAAAAAAATAGTAAAATGCAGAGCTAAAATATTTACAATTCTTCAACAAATTCTAAATGATTCACATTCAGTATTTCCATAAAAGCTTTTTTTTGTCTTCATTGATGCCCATCCGTCCATCTTTGATCCACGGAGTTCAGTGTGTGATGGTAGAGTTCAGAACTCCAGCCTTGACGCTGGATTTAGAGGCATTTGAGAGCTCCCGCTGTAGGCAAAAAACACAAATATGAAGTCATATTACCATTAGACAGTACACAACCCTTCATGTTTACGCATCTTTTACCGGTCTTAAAGGGACAGTTCACCCAAAAACGAACAATAATATAATCATGGTTCCAAACCTATATGAATTTCTTTCTTCTGTTGAACACATAAGATATCTTGAAGAATGTTGACAACCAAACAGTTGCTGGTAGCCACTGACTTAAATAGTATGGGGAAAAAAATACTTTGGAAGTCAATGGCTACCAGCAGGTGTTCAGTTTGGAACACCTTGAGGGAGAGTTTCCATTTCTGCGTGAACTAAACCCCTCTGCAAGATTCATCTTTTCTCTAAGCTTAAATAGTTGAAGGAACATCAGTGATGGCTTATTTACAGCAGATAAATAATTCACCATTCTGCCCAGCTAATCTGTGGATCCAGGAGACCAATACTGACAGAAAAACTAATTTCATATCATTAAAGCCCCAATGAAATAATCTGACAACCGTCAGTTTGCCATTTCACCACTTTTTAAATGTCACACACCTCCAATTATGATTTCATAGGGTCTTTAAAAACAGCAGATTGTATTTTAGTTGTTGTGTTTCTGTCTCCAAGTGCTCATTTCACTGTTAGAAGCTGAAAGCGCACGCACACACAAACACAGACCCTCCTCCGTTAGTCGGGTTAGACGAGAAGAGTGTGTGTTAGTGTGATGGACAGTGAATGGTTTTAGATATACAGACCTGGACGCTGCAGTGGATTCAGAGTCCTTCTATAACAGAAGGCAGAATAAGCACACGGCGGTCACTTGATTACATCTGCTGCCTGTGCGTCTAGACTGCAGGATAATGAACGTACCGCAAACTCGGAGTAGGAGGAGGCCACGGATGTAATGGAGTAATTTATTTGAGGGCTGGCGGCCATCGTGCGCAAAGCTCCGCTCAGATGGGAGATATTCTCCTTGTTCCTCTCCAGACCACGAGGGGTTCGGCCACGGGCAGGTGTCCGTGCACACAACTAGCAGAGAGGCCGTTTACAGTTTTAATGATTAGAATAGAAATTAATATATAATAACAGGTTTAAACAGCATAACTCACCTTGCTGGAGGAAAGGGGCGGTCTCAAAGAAGGGGAGGAGCATATGGAACGGAGTGTCGTGTTTGGGGTGGAGCTACACATGCTAGAGGTGGATGTCAGCTAAAAAAAAATAAAATAAATACATTTTTTTTTAATATATATAATTTTGTTTAATATATGTTTGTGTAATAATAACATTAAATGTATATAAAATTATTCTTATTCTTTTTTCTTTTAGAAAAGTATAAATGCAAAACAGCAATTTCGGGTACATTTCCTCCCGGTTTAACAGACAAGACTTAAGCCCTAAAATGTATGTCTGGGCTGTTTTAACGGAGAGAAACTTGCACTGACTGATCTTAAAATATGTCCGTGCCATTGTTTTGTCTCAAGATGCACACGAGTAATGTTATTTTCTAAGGCATGTTTATAAAAGATATTTAGATGTCCTAATTGAACCATGGCCTAAATCCTGGCTTAACCTAAACCCTGTCTGTGAAACCAGGCCTTAGTGTAGTGTACATCTGCTATGATTATAAAATGACACTGCAATAGATTACATATTTATTTTATTGGTATTAGCATCCCTGCAATTGATACTGGCATCAAGGCATTGGTAAAATCATATTGATCGACAGTTAGTACACATATGCAGTCAGTACCTTGCGTGTTTTTCCAGGTGTCGGGGTTCCAGCGAGTCTTCTCTTGGTTGGGGTTCTGATGATGGTGCCGTACAGCAGATCTTCCTCCGTCTGCTTCATTTTCTTCATTTGCTGCACAGTACAAACCTCATGTCAGAAACTAATATTCGAAATAAAATTTAAGTCCGAAGTAGTAATTTCAAGAAAAAAAGTGTTCATACCCGTTCCTGTTTTTCTCTCTCTTTCTCCATATGGTGTCGATTCCACTGGTCTTCCACATACTGCAGGAACGGCTGCCCGTTCACATGAAACTCTTTACAGTGCGTCGCTTCCCATTGGTCAATCTGAGCCTTCAGACTCTTCTCCAGCTGGCCAATCAAGACAAAACAAACATGAGCGTACAAGCCATTCCAGTCAATCAAACTTCAGAGTTCGCTTAAAGAGCGGCTCAAACCTTCGGCAAACTCTTCTGCAGGTCGACTCTCTGTTTCTCCTCCTTCAGCAGGTTTCCCCCTCTGTTGTTAAAGCGAGAGGGGTCTGTGGCTTTTTTCTGGAGAAAGAAGACCAACCATAATTAGACTGATTTTCACAAACATCTTTACGGTTTTTAAAAAATGCTTACACACAGGTTTTGAAACCATGGCTCCATTTCTCAAAACTCTACACACAAAACATCACACATCTCTTCCAAAAGCAAACACTTCATTCAAAAGTCAAAACTATTTTAACTTTTCTAAAAATTATATTTTTGCATAGTAACTCTACACACAAACATAAAATAATTAGACGCATACAGATAGCCACATAACTACACAGACGTGAAGAATGTGAAACACTACTCTCGTGTGTCTTTTGCTTGTTCAGAGTGCAGGGGAGTGCACAGGAGTTTGTCATACATAACAAATGATGTCTAAGTGTTTTCAACACATGATCTCTGGGTGTAGGTCATCAGTAAATGAGTGTGGCATTTAAATGGCAGTGTTTACCAAATGAAACAAAAGAGCTGTTAGTTTTGAATGATGTGTGTAATGTAAAGAACTGTGTTTAGAGGTTTGCAAAAAGTTTGTTTGACAATAGCAAACTGAGTTTAAAGCAAGTAATGTGCTTGTAGTTTTGCAGACTTGGACTAAAGATTAGGTGTATGAGTGGATGGTTTCACTGAGTGGGCCTCAAGTACCACTTTTAGAGTCTAAACAATAAAAAAAAAAAAAACTAATATGTTTTGAATCTTTTCAGCTGATCTCCTATGATTTAACACCTCCAGTTCCTGATAAAGAGTCCAGTTGCTGCTCCAGGTGGAAACGGCGTCATACAGCTCGCTGTGCTCGGCATAATCCTGCTTCAGTCGTTCCAACTCCAGCTCATGTTCACGCAACACCTCCTCATCCAGATCATCTAACAGCACAAAATAAAATCAAACGTCAACAAATCTTTGTGTACCTAACGCATTTTAAACACTATCGCTCAATTCCAAGTTGCATAAAATCTCTACTAATTTAATCAATATGCTAGATTAAGATTAGGTCTCATTGTCTAGATGCACAAACTGCATACTATTTCTGGATTTTTGAAGCATGCATCCATGTTTTTTGGGCTGATATTATCCACAAACCCTTTTGCTACAAAACTGTATGCATGAATACAATGCCGTATCAACATGAAATTTTAAAGGAATAGTTTACCCAATTATGAAAAATTGCTTAAAATATATTCACCCTCAGGCCATCCAAGGTTCATCAGGTTTGGAGAAATGTAGCATTCCATCACTTGCTCACCAATGGATCCTCTGCAGTGAATGGGTGCCGTCAGAATGAGAGTCCAAACAGCTGATAAACATCACAATAATCCACAAGTAATCCACACGACTTCAGTCCATCAATGAACATCTTATGAAGTGAAAAGCTGTGTTTGTAACAAACAAATCCATCAAGACATTCTTTAACTTTAAACTGTTGTTTCTGGCTAAAATACAAGTCCTCTATTTATAATATTGCTTCCTCCAGTGAAAAAGTTGTCTTGTCTGAATCAGAAGAGAAATATGCACAGATCATGCCAAGTATACAAGTAAAAAGTGTCCAAAATAGCTCTAAAAAAACATGTCAGATTTTGATGTGAGAAGGGGATGGACTTTTTCACTGGAGGAAGGGTATTATGCATTATGGACTCTATATATATCTATATTTTTTGTCCAGAAGCGACAGTTTCAAGTTAAATTGCCTTAATGATGAATTTGTCTCCTACAAACATGCAGCTTTTCACTTCACAAGATGTTCATTGATGGACTGGAGTGGTGTGGATTACTTGTGATGATTTATCAGCTGTTTGGACTCTCATTCTGACGGCACCCATTCACTGCAGAGGATCCATTGGTGAGCAAGTGATGTAATGCTACATTTCTCCAAAACTATTCTGGTGAAGCAAAAAACTCATCTACATCTTTGATAGCCTGAGGGCGAGTACATTTTCAGCAAACATCCCCCTTTTTTGTGAACTATTCCTTTAATAACACCTTCAAAAACTACATTCTAAAGTCAAGTTTTCTGTACTTTCCCACCACTGGCACAGTTGGTACTTTTTGTACTCTGAAGTAAGCGAATTGGGATTTAGCCAAGAAACTAGTTAGCATACCACTGTGGTAGGGAGTGAAGGCTTGTCTCTGCTCCGGGCTGTAATAACATTTCTCCCAAAACTTGACAATCTCCGATCGGATTGTGTGAATAACACGCTCAATGCTTTTCTTTTTCAGCTCCTCCAATCGCTGAAGCTCTGCCTGCAGCTGTGACACAGTGAGACAGACAGCGTGAGGAATGGTTTATAATTCCAGCAGAAACAACATGACCTACTTTAGTGACAGGTGAGTGTACTTACTGCATTCAATCTGCTCTTTGTGCTAGTGTGGGTGTTCTGCATGAGACTCTCTCTCTCTTCCTCAGGAACCTGCAACATCTCCCACAGCTCCGCAATACGACCACGGATGGACACACACTGCGCTTCACTTTCAGCTTTACGGCTCTCCAGCTGAAATACAACACACACACCATTAGCCAGTGACATTTCACCTGCGGAAAAACAAAACACTGACATCAAAAATTATTGTTGGTATAATGATACCATGATGCAAAGCTGAATTTTCAGTCTTCAGTGTCACATGATCCTTCAGAAATCATTAGAATATACTGATTTGGTGCTGAAGAAACATTTCTTCTTTTTAAAACAACTGCACTGCTTATTATTTTTGGAAATCATCATACATTATTTCAGGATTGAACAGAGTTAGAAAAAACTGAATTTATTTTAATTAGAGTTTTTTTTTGAAGCATTATAAATGGCTGTTACTTTTAATCAGTTTAATGCATGCTTGCTTAATAAATATGCAAGTAAATAAATCATACTGTGAAAGGGCTCATCATTTCAATTTAATGGTTTAAGGTGTCCAAGATCCTCCAGCTTTGCTTCTCATTTTAGTTGACAGCATTTGGGTTACAACCAACAGCTAAAAAGAACTGTGTGAAGTGTGTGTGTACCTGGTGCAGTAACACTTTCAGTGAGCGGAGGTTTTCCACAGAAAGACAGAAAGCGTCTTCATCTTCACACACGGCGTCTTTCTCAAAGGAGGTGTCAGGATGCTGTTCCAAATCCTCCATCAACACTGTGATCTGACGCTTCATTTCCACAAACTCGGCATGACGACGCACCTGTGAACACACACAAGCACACTTCCTGTAACCAATCTGGATATACTTTCATATGCAGAGAAGCAAACTACCACACTATTCATTTAAGAATGCAGGATATACCAGCTGTCAAAACTCTGGAACAATTAAGATTTATTAATGTTTTTGAAAAAAAGTCTCATGCTCAGCAATACTGCATTTATTTGACCAAAAATACAATAAAACAGTAATACTGTGAAATGTTGTTACAATTTAAAATAACAGTTTTCCATTTTAAAATGTAATTAATTTCTGTGATTACTCCAGTCTTCAGTGTCACATGATCCTTCAGAAATCACTCTAATATGCTGATTTGTAGCTCAATTATTGGTGCTCAGCTTAACAGTTTTTACTGTTAAGTAATTCTTTTCATGAGTCTTTGATGAATAGAAAGCTCAATTTTTAAATCTTAATTTACCCAAACATTTGAATTGTGGTCTATCACGGTTTAAAAAAAAATTTGTTTCTCATTTTCCTCTTGACAATACCCCATAGATTCTCTATGGGGTTCAGGTCTGGTGAGTTTGCTGGCCAGTCAAGCACACCAACACTACGGTCACTTAACCAACTTTTGGTGCGTTTGGAAAATGAAATCAGCATCTTTAAAAAGCTGGTCAGCAGAAGGAAGCATGAAGTGCTCCAAAATTTCTTGGTAAACGGGTGCAGTGACGTTGGTTTTCAAAAAACACAATGGACCAACACCAGCAGATGACATTGCACCCCAAATCATCACAGACAATATGACTTGATTATTGAATTATTGGAAAATTTTAAAACCGTATACATTGCCAATATAGTCAACTTAGTATGTCAATACTATTTCACATACTAAAAAACAAAAAGACAAAAAAAAAACAGACAGCTCTGCAAGTGTGTTTTACCTTCTCCTGGTTGCGGGCGTTGATGTGTTGTCTGTAGTTCTGCAGCTGCTGTTGTGACGGCACTCGTTCGGGATGGATGGGGAAGAGGTCATCACACAGGATGTCACACAGATCTTGATCCTGCTGAATCAGAGATTTCAGCGCGCTCTGACGAGAACTTTTCTCTTTTAGCATCATTTTGACCTGTGTACGGAGATCCTTCTCCAACTGCAGCATCGTAAGACCATCTTCCTCCTGCCAAGCACACAAAATCTGCAATCTGATTGGCCGGCTTTACAAAACATCCAGAGTGCACAGGCTGTTACTATGCCGTTATCCAAAAATGACTTGGATCAGAGTGACTCACCTGATACTCCTGCACCTGAAGTTCATTACACAGGCTGGCCACCTCTTTTCTGCATGTTTCGATACTGCTCAGCAAGCGTTTCCTCAAGCCCTCCTCCTCTGCGATCATCATGTCCAGCAGTTTCTGCAATCGCAAAGATTTCACATTGTACCGGTGTCTCCATTCTCCAGTCAATGAGAAACGCAGATGACCTGAACTGACCTTGATGTGCATGTGAACGGCGTCGGTGCGCTGCAGCCTCTGGTCCTCCGGGATCCCGATCTCCTCCCAGATGTCCTTCAGCTCATTGAGAGCCTTGGTCAGACATGATACAGACTCTGCAGCGTGGATCTCACTGAAATTACACACGTTCATATCTAATGAATACATGCTCATGTTCTGTTATCTTACATGTCATTTAAAGATTCAGATGTCAGACAGTGCTGTATATTATTAAACAGTATAATAAAATGAGCTTGCCCTTTTAGTATTTGTCTTATGAATTAATAATCAAATCAACAGCATTATTGACAATTATACTTCATATTGACAAATATAAGTCATATGTTTATTACTAAATGATCAATAAATGTGCAGCATTACTGATTGTATTGTTGAATAATAAAACCACTATAGTTTCCATTAATAGCAGAATTAATTGATTATCGTTGATATTCTGGAAAACGGCTTGTTGAAAATGGCGATGTTTATAAATAGCAGTATTTTCATAACTTGCGTGCTAATGCTAAATCCATCTTAAAAAAAATAAACAAAATCACGAAAATATCGACCATTTTTAACCTAAAAACTATTTTTACTAAAACATTCGCATCGAAAAACTGAAGCTAGCATTAGCACAATACATACACTAATCTATACATAAACAAATTTTTACACTTCCAAACTCTCTCTGTTTCTTACCTCTTCCTCATCCTGTCCTTCCGCCGCAGATCTCCGATGAGATTTACACAGTCGTTAAGTGCTACTTCTGAACTTTATTTTAAGCTTTATTTCACGATCTAGCCGACGCTAGCCTTGTAACTTCTGGCTAAAAATTCAAACGTCGCACTAAAACGCCTCTAGTCTCTGATTGGCCGAGACCAAGCTAGGCAACTACATCCTGCTCGCTGATAGGCTGACGGACATGATAGGCACTATTCAAGCACACTGATTGGCTGACAATTCAAGCCAGCTGATTGACCAGTTTAACTGGCTGTGCTGATGAATGGAACGAGTCATGACGTTTAGTTCGGAACCATTAATCAGCAGAACAGAATGTAATCAAATCGTGACTGATTTGTTATATTTTTTAATGTAAATTTATCAAGGCAAATAATCCCTTTTAAATTTATAGTTTTCTGTATTATGAAGGCACTTTTCACTAGCATGTGATGAGTTTCTTTTTGAGATTTTTTTTTTTTTTGTATAAAAACTTTAATAGATAAAAATGTATTGTAAATAAAATAAAGAAGAAATAAAGAAAGACAGCATCAGGGAAACAGACTGACAGAAATATAGCAATCAGATCAGAGGTTTATTTATTGTTCTCTTATTGTGAGATTAATAATTGGTGATAGGCTACTGTTTGACAATGTTTATGCAAAATCAGCACCTCTTATTACATTCCAAACATTAGGAAAACAGTCCTGAAACTAAACAACTGATGCATAACAAATATCACAACAGTGTTTAATTAAAGTCATTAAAACGGTCCCTAGCTCTTTTCAAATTTTTATTTTTACTAGATGATTAATCATCCTCATGATGAATTTTGATCGATGGTTCTGTCATCAACTATTAATCTTTGTCATGAAGTCAGACCTACAGTTAATCATATGGCATCAATATAATAATGATTACAATGAAATGAATCAACAAACAAGACCTCTTCTCCATGAGAGACTGGAGTATTAAAGCTCCAAAGGATTCATTCATTCTGAAGGATTTGTAAGTATTTATACATTAATTTATGGAGCTGAAGATAGAGATTCATTAATGCATTAATAGAGATGAAGACTGATTCATATGCTCATATAGCTGAGGATTCATTTATACATTTACTCATGGAGTTGAGGATTATTTCACTCATGGAGGTGGCGATTCATTTGCTCACATAGCTTAGGATCTTTTTATGTGTTCTTAGCCACTGCGGGTCATAAGCTCCTCCAGGGCTTTCTCTTTATGGTTCTCATGCACCAGTAAAACTTCTTTAATGGTGCTCTGCTGGAAACCCATCTCACAGAACTGAGCCAGCAGAAACAGGAACTCTGAAGCCTGAGAGGAACACAGAAACATCAATACAGTTACAATAGATCAGGTTGGTGTATTTAATGTGCTAAATGTTGATTGGATGCGTGTTTTTAGTGCTAAATTCTAAATGGACGGTTTGTTTTGTGAGGGATGTTTAGTGCTAAATGCTGATTTGAGGGACATTTTGGGCACTGGATGCTGACTGGTTGAGTGTTTGGAGCATCAAATGCCGATTTGGAGGAGTTTTGTGCACTGAATGCCGATTGGTTAAGTGTCTGGCTTGCTAAATGCTGATTTGAGGAATGTTTTGTCCATTAAATGCCAACTGGTTGCTGATTTGAGAGGTGTTTTGTGTACTGAATGCCGATTGTTTGAGTGTTTGGAGCGCTAAATGCTGATTAGAGGGGCATTTTGTGCCCTTGATGCTGATTGGTAGGGTGTCTCACCTTGGTCTCACAGTTCTGGAACATCTCCAAAGCTTCTTCCACCTGAGTCTTCTCATAACCCAGCCGACACAGACGGTCACATGACATAAGGTAACTCAAAATCTGGAGAAGATCCAGAAAGAATGAGAGAGAGAATGTGTATATTTACTGTATATGTGTGTTTGCATGTAGTGTGTGTGTTACCTGATCTGGACTCTTGGGTCCTGTCCTCTGCAGTGCTACTATGGCAGTGTGCAGTGTGTATCCATGTTGTGTAACAGCTTCAAGAAGATCCCTCTCTTCCTGACTCAAAGCGCACAGAAGATCTGCTGAAGCATCCTGTAGTCCTGCGGACGTCCGCGGACGTACACCCTAAAACACAAGATCAGCTCATCAGTAATCCTAAATAAGACCTATAAATAAGATCTATGGATCTACAGTGTGTGTGTTACATTTGAAGAGTGTTTCTGAGTCCTGGCGGAGGGCAGCGGTCCTGCGGACGAGGGTCTCGGCTGTAGGAGGGTGTGTGAGTTCCGTCGCCCGCTGGTTCTCGTTACACCGGGTTTCCTGCGGGGGGCTCTGGAGCCGTGAGGGCTGCCCTGCGGTGTCTGGTTGAGGGCAGGGGGGACAGGCTTACGTATGTCTTTTACAGAGGAGGCGGAGCTTGGTCGGGCCTTGTGGAGAGTGCCGGAAGGGACGGGGCGAGGGGTGGAGCCTCGCTGGGTGTGATGTGCAGAAATCTGTGGGCACGGTGGATCGGAACTCTTCGGTCTTTCTTTGCTACGAACAGCATCATCCTCAGATGAGCTCTCGTTGTCTTCGCTGTAGCCGCCCTCGGAGTCCGTGTCAGCGATGAGGAACTGGACCGCCCGTAGTGGGCGGAGCTTACGCGAGTCAGCAGCACTGAGGCTTAAACTGCAGGGGCGTGGGCCCAGTTCCCATAATTCTGCACTTCTGAGGTGCCCCCTGCGGCTCTGCTGTGGGCTGCTGAACATCAGCCAATACGGCGGGCAGGTGGGACACACACTCTGGGGCATTTTTTTGGCTTTCCTGTTCTTCCACTGCTGTTCTTCCCATGCAGCCATGATCTTTTTCTCCAGAGTGAATGAATACTGCAGAACAGGACAACATGTGAACATTGTTATATATAAAGATACATATACTGTACATAAAATTCCAAATGTATATGATGAATATAAGCAAACACATAATAATATACACTACCGGTCAAAAGTTTGGGATCAGTAAGACTTGTAATGTTTTTTTAAAAAGTCTCTTATGCTCATCATGGCTGCATTTATTTTATCAAAAATACAGAAAAAACAGTAATCTTGCAAAATGTTATTACAATATAAAATAATGGTTTCTATTTTAATATCCTTTAAAATATAATTTATTTCTGTGATGCTTTAGCTATCACTTCTTAAAAATGTAACACATCCTTGCTGAATAAAGGTTTAAGTTCTTTCAAAAAAAGAAAGAATAAAAATGTACTGACCCCAAACTT